GGCTGCCAGCCGTCCCAGCTATCATTTCAAGAGAGCTTAATCTGATTGTTGATTAGTGCCTCTGGCGAAGTGCTAACTTGCTGTGACAGACCCCACAGAGAGTGAAGAGAAGGGAGGACAGAAGCGGCTGATCTCTGATCCCAGATCTGACAGCTGGCTCCCTCAGGAGGACACTGCCTGGGGTGTCAGAAGCTTTGATCAACTCAGAGTCCTCTCAGGAATGCGCACGCAAAAACACATGCACACAAACACACACACACGTACAAACACGTACACCAGTGATGGAGCTCTGGTGTTTATGTAAATGCATGCATTAGCAATTTTTCACTCCCTTTTTCTATTTCCTGACTCTAACACACAGGCGGATACACACAAAAACACACACACGTTGACTCCCACACAAATTGCTGAGCTCGGCCTGCTGGCATATGAATCCAGGAGCTGGCACGAGTTGCAGAAGAACACACAGTCAACGCTATTTTATAATCAAATAATTTTTCAATCTTGAAACTGATACGTTTCCACCGAGCAGGAGCTATCAACTGCGGTGGGCTGTGTGTGTGGTGTGTGTTTGCTTAGGCATATGTCCTACACCTCAACACACATGCATAGGCTCGAATAATCACATCCATTTTCACGTGGACCATATATTCACACTGAGCTTTAAAGTGGATTCATTCATGCCGGTTATTTTGTATTCTGGTGGCTCAGAAGCACAGAGGCGATTTTTGGTCACTCTGCAAGCTGTCAGCGCCCCCAGTAGGGCTAAAAGTCAATGTGCATTGAACAGCAATTAGCTTTTTACTTTTTCCTTTGTTTGCTTCTTTCCCTTATTCTGTTGAGAAAAACTGAACACATGCAAGAGACAAGAGAGGAGGAGGTTCCACAGAAATAAGCTTTGGTTATTGCTTATTTCTTACTAGTGATAACATATCACATAAACAACAAAAATGTATGTAATGTGCACAAAGTCTGGATAAATAACAGCCACAACAAAACCAGCTGAGAATCAAAACACAAAGAGCTTCAGTAGCATAAAATCTCAAGGAGGGGTGGACCCATGGCACAGCCAAGATGTTGTGCTTTGTTAATGTGTCGTTACCCAAAGTGTGAGAACTTCTGTGGGCAAAAGAGAGCAGACAGTAATTTTGCTGCTGCATATTTCCAGCTGTGTATTTTCAACCGTTTTAAAAATTGCTTACTTAAGGCTCCATGGGCTTTTTAACACTTCCACGAATTGATGTGAAAAAGATTTTCTTCCCTTTCTTCCCTTTGCGCCACTTGACAACATAATGTTTAAAGAAATAATTAAATTAGATGGCTATTAAACTTTCTAAATGTTATTTTAATGAGTAA